TCCTGGCAGAGTTTTGTCTAAATCATTCGTTTTCAATAAAATGTTTAACTAATTATTTAATAGAACAGCTTATGAGATGAACTTTCATCATGATATCTAACAAAAAAAAAAAAGTAAATAAAAAATAGAGGTCAATGCACTTCAATTCGTGATTTCCAATGTGTGGGGCGCAAGGCTATTTCAAAGGGGAAAGCCCATCTGTTTTCAAAATATTATTTCCGAAAATTAACCAAAAATGAATGAATAAATAACATTTTTTACATATATTTTTATATTGTATATTAATTTAAAAACTGGTAAATAAATATCAATATTTATCAAATTAGTTTGTTTAATTATCGAGGCGCAACATTTTTTTTTAAAAACGTGGTAACGCCTACCCTAAAGGTTTACAAATTTGTATCTGAATTTTACCAACACCGATCAACCGATTTGAATAATTTAAAAAACATTCGATTTGTATTGATAAGGAGACATGCTGATTAGTTTTTGGCGAAGGTAGGCCTAGCCGTTCCAAAGAAACGGGGCAAAAAGTGCCAAAAATGGTAACTCAGTTTTTAAGAGAACGGAGCGTCCGATTTTAATAATTTAAAAAACATTTTACTTGTATTGACAAGATGAAGATTGATTGATCTATTGATTTTATTAAGGCAGGTCTAGCGGTTTCGGAGATCTAATAAAAAAAAGTAATAAAAATGCCAATGACATCAAATTATCAGATATTTTATAGAGATTTTAACAATAAGTATAAATTTTGTTGACATTCCTATGGGTTCCGTACCAATGTTCATCTGCTAGACGGCGACGCGGCGCTTACGCGCTTTGACATTTCGTCTCTATGCAGTTAAAGCAGTACGATTGCTTTGAAAAAAAGTCCAGAATTTCCAAAATATGTCAAAATAAAGAAAACATTTTTTTTTCAATATTTTTTTTTTAATAAAAAAGTAATTTTTTGTGAAATTTATAGTTCCTCAAAAATCTAATTTTTTCAAAAAATTTAATCGTTTTTTTTTAAAAAATAATAATTATTGGTACGGGAAGTTTCACCAATTTGCCTTAAGGCACGATGCCATACACCCCACAAATTTTCATTTATAAAAAGGGATACTTTCAGAATCTCTTTTGTTGCATTGGACAATACAAAACTCTCGTTTTCTTCTATTTTTTGTAAAAGGTTATAAAAGCTTGTAAAAGAGGATAATAAAATTGCATTCAATGCTCTTTAAATTTAAGATCTGGAAAATCTGCACATCATTTAACAAGAGCATGCAATAAACCAAGGTTTTATAGCAGCTATAATTGTAATTTCAATTGTATCAATAATTCCATTTTCAGTTTCTGAATGGATTGGAACAATTCTTTGTATATATAGTTTTCAGCTCAAAAAATAAAAGTTTGGTGTATAGTTTTTACTAACGGTGTATGCTTTCAAATGCGCAAAAGCAAGAAATAATTAAATCTGCTGCAAGAAATAGAACAGATTTATGTAAAATGTGCAACTGCTTGTAAGTGAAGATTATTCTATGTTGAAACAAGGTCATTCAACCGATCGGCGTTGCGATTCTGTCTTATTGTTACATGTAACCAGAGATGCATCGAGGCTTCTTTTTAAAGGGAATTTAAAACTACAAACATTTCGGAACAACAGTCAACAATAACTAAATTAAGATAATAGCTTTTTAAATCGAGTTAAAAAACAATCAGTCGAGATTTAGAATTAAATTCATTTGTTTTGCAAAGACAGCTTAACAAATTACATTGTTTTTGATGCTTGGCTACTTAGGTGATGAAAATTAATATAAGTATATATCATATATGTGTGTGCATGTGTGTAAATATATTTTAATAATTTTGATATAGAAATATAATTTATTTATTGATTATTTGGCATCGGAGATAAAAGTTGCAATGCTTTACCTAAAACTTTACAAAAAACATTCAATTCGTAATGGCGGGGAGAAGTGGTGATTAGTTTTTGGCTATGGCAGGTCCAACGGTTTCGGAGATACAGAGCTAAATGTACAAAAAATGACAGTTTGTGAATTTGAAGAACTTTCTGCTTGTATTGACAAAACAATTGCTTTCTTGGGGATGAAAAAATATTACTTTTTTCTATTTTTCATAAAATATTTTTGTAATTTTGGATTAAAAATTCAAAAAATTACCCAGGCTAAGCACAGTCTAAACACCACTATGGTACAAATGTTTACCCAAGTGCGTTTAGACTGTTTATGTACTGGTGCACTTTTCCGATTTTGTAAAAACTATTGAAAAATGTGAAAATGCCGCAAAGCTAAGCACAGTATAAGTGAAAATGTAGCACAGAATTATTTGCAAATGCGTTTAGACTGTGACTATACGGGAGCACTTTTTCAATTTTGTGTAAATTAGATTAGAGGCAACTATTTTTTTTTTGAAATTGAATTCGAAATGAAATGGCGATTGTTAATGTTCTGGAGATAAATTGATTTATGATTTACTTACTTTATTTATTTGATTTGCTCAGATATAACAAGATAGCAAAAATAATGAAAGTTACAGTATTTGAAATAATATATTTGAAAACGTTTAAAATTTCTCGAAAATTTCATTACGGTACGGAAAATTCCAGCAATTTGCCTTAAGGCACGATGCCATACACCGCTAGTTAAATTTCTTATTGAATAGCAATAAATATACAATTTCAACTCGTCAGCTGCTCTGTAAAATGGTATTAGCCTAAAAATTCTATTAAACTCTAATAATTTCTATTAAACACTAGTAGCACTTTTCTTTCTGGAGGCTGACTATGTCGAAGAAGATGCGATAGTATATTATTGTGTTTGCCATTTTTTTTTAAACATAGTACATTAAATTTTTATCTCAAAAGCTTTTCTATAAAATAGTTATTTAAAAAATATATTAAAAACAAGTATTTTCAACAACCAGAAAGTGTAATACGTAAAGTTTTATTCTGAGGTCTACAGACATTTTTTAATTTTTTTTTGAAGATATAGTCCAGGTACACCCTACCATATGTAGGTTTTGAGACAACTTTTTAGTGTCAATATACAAGTATTTACAGACTTACATCTGGGTTGAACTTACTATAATGAGTGGATTAATAAAGTATGCCAAAGAAGATGTGATAGAATATTATTGCCTTTGCCCATTTTTATGTGAAAATGAAAGCATTCTTCGATATTTACTTTCAAAAATATGTACAAAAATTAACCAGAAACATCAAGTAATTGAAGTATCGATTGAACACATTAAAAAGAAGTGTATAATTAAATTAACATTACTATAAAACAATCAAATGATTGCACTTAACAGCCGCAAAGAAATTTTACAAACGTTTACAAACACAGCAGTGTGTATAAATTATTAGCAAAACATCATAAAAGCAAAGAAGTCTGTATTATAAATACTTGAGGGAACAATGAAAACCTATAAAATATCGTTGTTAGATTTATGATTTGATTTACATTGACTGTCTCATAAACACTTTGGCATTAAAACGATAAGTAGTATATTGTATACACTACTTTTTCATCTTGGCGACACATCAACGCGTGGGGCATTTGATCATTCAGAAAATAGATTTAGGATGAAGGTAGCCTCTGCCAGAAAGGAACGAGATTTTAACATTTGTCTGCGATTAAATGGTAATAAATTAAACGGAAAATGTAATGGATTTATTAAGCAGATGTAAATTTGAAGTAAAATACTAAATAAAAATGACAGAAATGCCATAGCTATTCAAAGTTTAAACTATGAAGTTTTATCAATACAAGATGAAATTGCATTTTATCAAGAGCACATATGCCTTGAATTTAAGGGGGTGCTCCAGTGTAGAGGCATGAAATTTAGATCATTTTTATAGGGGCATTCAATTTTTTTACTGTCACTTTTTCTATAATTTATGTATCAATGCTACAAGAGTACAGCAAAAAAAAGTAAAAACAAACTTTATAACAAAAGTTAATAATTTCAAAAATTAATAGTTGTTGAAGTGGGAAGGGGGTGGTCCCAAAAAATTGGCACGTAAACATGTCCCCGATTGCAGCCCCCCTAGTAATCCGAAATGAACAATAAAAAAAAGATTATTAATCTAGAATGGCACATACTAGAATTAATTATTGTTTGTGGTTTTTGTGATATTTTAGCCACATAAATTATTTAGATTTGAAGTAATAGTATAGTGAATTTATTATAGTTTAAATAATTGTATTGTTATTTTCAAATAAAAATAGATATTCATGTTGTAAATTTATAGAATGTATTTTTTTCATATTAAATGTAATAAAAATGTTATAAAAACAAAACAAAATTAGAATTAAGTTCAAAACTTTTTTTTGAAAAAATGGTGACTGTTTGGAATAAAAAGGATCATTTTTTACCACCTTTTGAGATTCACGAATTTTTTAAAAATAGTAAAAATTGAAATTTGGGGATGGGGCTAGTATATGCCACAGAGAAGTCCATAAAGAAAATTTTCAAGAAAATTGGTCTAGTAGATCTGGAGAAACCGAGGACTTCGTATTGAAAAAGACAGTTTGAGAAAAACGCGTTTGAAGTTTCGCAAAAGGAAGGAAAGAGGATTATAATGGCCAAACAGCTGTATCTCCGAAAATGATTTAAATTTTGCAAAATCCTCTCATACACACATTTTTAAATAGTTAAACTTCGAAAATTTGAAACAAAATAAAAGCGAAATTCTTTGAATTTCTTCAATACAGTACCCCGTTAAAGTACACGATCAATTTAATTAAAGCCCACCGCACAATGATAAAGAATGTTTAATTATGATGCATTTAATAAACATAATATAGAATGGAATGAGTGAAAACACAACAAATAACACAGGGAATTTGATAAGCAAAATAAAACATGATATGACAATCAATATCAACCATATCGAGTGACATAAACAATAATAAAAAAACGTCATAAAATTGACATAGGACTTTTGCAATGACATAAACTATATGTGAAAAACGATTTGGAATGTGTCAAACCTCAAGATCTTCGTAGGTGCGAAATGACATTATCGCAAATCCGTCGATAATGTCCTCCTCGAGAATGGGCTCCTTAGACTTTTTCCTTCTGTTGGGGGGCCTCGGGGGCTTCTCCCACGTGAGGGGCTCGTCGTCTCCGCTGTCCCCATCCCGGACCTTGGTCTCCCGTTGCGCTTGCATGCGCTGCGCCCGTTCCCTTCTGCGGTTTCTCTGATTCCTATGTTTCACTTCGTTTTCCATCGTTCGCACATTATCTATGGCACACTAAACACTATACCATTCACTATATAAAAGTCCGTAAAATCGACACCAAAAACCACATAGTCCCTAGCTTGTGTACAATTTAAGCAAAATTAAGAAATTCGAAAACTTGCACCTGGAGAAAGATACTGATTGTTTCCAATGGCGGAATGTACACGGCTGCCGCATTGCTAGTAAAATGGCCGCGTAGCTTATCCGCCAGTATTTGTTTGTATTCTACATTATTCTTAGATTAATATACACCACTCACAACAATTGACACACATTAAAAATATCACACATCACTGAATATGTCAATAAAACATTTAGTCATTGCACCCTCAAGAAGGCGACATACGACCAGTCAATACAATGAAAGACGGCCGCGATACCAGCGCCGCGTCGCGGACACTCTGACAACCGCTTAATTTATTCGAGCGTTGCCAACATCGTGGCGCTCGAGCTGCGCATTCGGCGCGAAATTTAAACACATATTTCAACTTTATAGCAATATACTGTAATATCAAGTTACAAAATAACAGACATATCAATGATACTAAATCTTTGTATCTGAGTGATAAAAGAAATATAAGTACTAACAAATTAGGATAAGTATTTAATTTTTTGAATAATAAATAGCCATTTGTAAACATCAATATTATTATTATTATTATTATTATTATTATTATTATTATTATATTATTATCTTATTATTTCTAATATTGTTATTTTGTTATATTAATTTTTATCTGTCACTTATTGTTTTTATTCCACTTTATTGTTTTTCTAGTACTATTTTATTCTTAAGAAATTTTATTATTATTATTATTATTTGCTTTTATACTATATTAAATCATCATACTACGGATATCATTTTAATGTAAATTCTATCCTTTGTACTCTTTTTTATTTAAATTTATGTTATTATTCTTTATTATTACTAGATGTTAAATTATTTAGCAGTTGTAATAAATATCGTAATTTAAAAAAAGAAAGTTACAATTATAATACATTTTTTATATTTCATTCAGGCAAAAGTATCTGGTATAAAAAATCATATAAAATATCAAAATAACATAATATATATTTATTTACATGTCATTATTACAATTACACAATCATACGTATATTTATTTCTACAGCCCTAAGTTGTTCTAATATAGTTCAAAATGTATTAAAGTGATTTCCTATAAACTCAATTCATTATTTAATTAATTTTATGAAATGTTATAATATTATTCCTAGAACTCTTTAGCAAAGTGCTGTTCCTATTTAAACAAAAAAAAAAATAGTTTGAGGAAACAATTTTAATTATTTACATATGGTTTTTAATTTGTAATTTATAGGTTTTATTAAAATTATTATAAAATGGCTCTAAGACTTCATTATGCAATTTTGTGCTTTACTGCATCACTTGTGAAAAAAAAACAAGAACATTGCATATAATAAGTGATTATAAATATAATTAATTTATTTGAAATCAAAATGTTTTGACCTGGGTTATAAATGTGATGCTAGAAACATATAAAGTGTTAGAATATAGGCAATCATGCAGCTAAATAATTCGGCTATTTCTTGTAATTGCTTTTTTTATTTTTATCTACCATTTTAATATTTTGTTATATAATCAATTTATTTATTTTCATAATTTTATTAATCTTTTATAATTTTATTAATGTTGTTAAAATCCGCTACTTTTTTAAAAAAATTCTATTTTTTTTAGGCAATAATGTAGGTAAATAACTCGAGTATTTCTTGTAATTGCCATTTTTTTAAATTTTTATCTACCATATTAATATTTTGCTATTATATAATTTATTTATTTATTATTATTTTAATTTTTATTTTCTTTTATATAATTTTCTCTCTTCATAATTTTATTAATATTGTTAAAATCCACTAATTTTTAAAAAAAATCTAATTTTTTTTTAGACAATCATGCAGGTAAATAACTCGAGTATTTCTTAATTGATTTTTTTTTTAATTTTTAGCTAGCATTTTAATATTTTGTTATTATATAATTCATTTATTTATTATTATTTTAATTTTTATTGTATTTTATATAATTTACTCTCTTTTATAATTTTATAAATTTTGTTTTTTTTTTCAGAAAAGCTTCTAAACTTTTAAATAATTTCTGCAAATTAATGGATATACAGGACCTCAACTTTTGAAGATGCTCTAAACGAAGACGTAATATCAAGTTTCATAAATCAAGACTCAAAATTAAATTAGTTTAGCATTCCTTTATTTTTATTTTATATTTGGTTGTTTTGTTATTTAATTGTAAAATTGCGAATTGTATATCTAATACATCTAAAACATCTAATACCATTGTATTCTTTGTTCGAAGCTCTACACAATATATATTTATATAGATATTTGTATGTATTTCAATATTTTTAAAATAATCAAAACAATACAAACTTATCTTCATACATACCTTGTTTAAAATGTAAAACTACAGGACGTTATTCAAGTTATTTTTCATTTGATTTTTTATTTGATTTTAGCGCCACATATCGAGCTTAGTCTGTACCAAAACCACCAACATATAAATTCTTATAGATTGTGCAGAGGGAAATTCAAATTACATGTTTTTATTTCTAAAATAATTCTGATAATACTGGTATTAAGTAATTAATCTCATTGCGATTATTAAATTTATAATACCTAAACATATTTTTGAATATTTATCATTTAAATAAAAACAGATAAAAAATCGTATAAATCCGGCAATTCCAGTTTGACGCGCATGGGTATGATGTGGAACGACTCACCAATACAAGATTTAGTATAGGCGTAAATACTATATATACCTCACACAATATCACCTTGTCTTGTTTAAAGGTAGTTTATTAAATGTGAGTGGTGTTTAAATTTAATAAAAAATACCGTAAGTGATATTTAATTATATGTGCTAAATTTTATAATCAGTATTTTTTGAATATTTTGAATAATAGAGTTTTAAACAACTATAAAATGACCGCTTGTTATAATAATTATGTTATGTTGAATTCTTCTAAGCATATCATAATTTATATAAATAGATCAATTGTATTATTTTATATGTAATATTAATTCAAATATTTGTTTTTACTATAAAAACATGTGTAAACAACGACAATTATTACTATGACGTAGGCACGTGTTATTGATCTGTTTCCGCAAACAGGTGTCCGGAAAATTACTTTCGATTTTAACATTTTTATAATTATTATAACAAAATACGTTTATTTAATAGTTTTTTAAATTATTTAAAACTCTATATTCAAAATTTCGCTCCGTACATTTGTGAAATTATGTGTAATATTTTTTTCTGGTAGTCTGTAAAAATAGAGAACAATTAATAATTGGTTAATTGGGTTTAAATATTATATTTTAAATTTTAAAAACTTAAAATATGTGATTTGATCATATATGAAATGGAAACCTACGCATATTTTATAACTAGAGAAACCAGTTACATGTTATATGACCTCATAGTAGAGCCGCAGCATGAAAGAATTTTTGAAATTGATACTCTTGATGTGATAATATAAGAACTGCAGTTGTTGATTCAATATTTTTTAAAATTATTACTTACTTTTATTATGAGATGTTTAAATATAATAGTATTTAATATACACTTTTTTTTAAATTAAACTTTTAGATTTTAAAACTATTACTTTATTTTTACATTAGTAAGGTAATCTTTTCACTAATATTGCAGTTCAGACTATTACTTTCTTCTACATTTTGAATTTAGTTTATTTTTTATAAGCTTAGAAAAAATATAGCATTCAGTTATACCTCAACTTGTAAATTTTCCCAAATTTTATCATAATTTAATGTACCCATTTCTTCAATTTGGTATTTGATTTACCTTATATGATTACTTTTATTATGAGATGTATAAAAATAATAGTATTTAATATACACTTCTTTTAAAATTAAACTTTTAAATTTTAAAACTATTACTTTATTTTTACATTAGTAAGGTAATCTTTTCACTAATATTGCAGTTCAGACTATTACTTTCTTCTACATTTTGAATTTAGTTTATTTTCTATAAGCTTAGAAAAAATATAGCATTCAGTTATACCTCAACTTGTAAATTTTCCCAAATTTTATCATAATTTAATGTACCCATTTCTTCAATTTGGTATTTGATTTACCTTATATGAATTTTATGAAAATAATCTTTCATAAAGTTTTAATAAGTTGACCTTTTTATTTAACCTCTGATACTAAAAACGGATTAGATTTAGATCTTCTTTCGAACATAAACTTTTTTTATATACCGAAGTTTAAATTTGAATATTAAACATAAAATATATATTTACTTTTTCCGATATTAATTTTTTAAAGTTTGTTACTTGTAATGCATTTATTATAAATTTGGCAAACCCTTACTCCTATTTATATAAAAACTGAAAATCATTTAATAAATTATTGTAGACTATAAAAATGCATAATCCCTAAAATGTAAACTATATTTGCTCATTTTTTAATTTTAAATTAACTATCATATTTAAATTTAAAAAAAATCTATCGTTTACTGCAATAAAAACAATAATGGTTTAAAACAATATGTTATTTATACGAATAAAGGAAAATTAAATACAGTGTATCAGATGGTAAAATTGTATTTTAGTAAACAAACAAGCTATTATACGTCAAATATCAAATAAATTCTTAACAGAAAAATTAAGTTCATTCTTTGTCAGTAAGAGAAAAGTCAAATGAAGACTCAAAACGTAACAACATATACAGTAACAATAAAATAATAAATAAATTGAATAAAAATAATTTAGGTATAACAGAGTGAAAATATTCAAAACATAAAAAATAATTAACACAATCATAATAAATTCATAGCACTTTTTTGTTTGAATAAAAAAAACATGATAACAAATCGAGGTCTATCAGGTCTTAAATCAAGTAACTTAATGAAATTAATAATAAATGCATACAGCGTCAAAATATAAAAAAATAAAAACCGTTGAATATAAAATAAAAGTGAAAACGTTACATTAAATTATAGATGCTAAATCAGAATTATAAACTTTAA